TATTTTAACACGTTGCGTACCGCACTCGGCGCGCCCAGGGCCGGCACAGTTTTGGAGCAACAGGGAAACTTTGCGCAATGCGCTTGTTTAATTCTTGCATTGATAAAATATTATTATATATTTTTTGCAGTAATATTTAAGAATCGATTTATTGTGTATTTCAGACTTTGACTATTATTTAGTTTATATTTATATTAACACATTGAGGACGGTATGCTCTGAGAAACATATAGCCTGTATTTTCTCGTGTTTCTTGAATTATTTAATATATGATTGAAAAGATTCAAGAGACAGTATAGCATTTAACAAGTGTATTATTTCATTAATAATTAAAATTATTGATTATTTTTCATTTTAGAGGTATTTTATTAAATAAAATGAAGATGCCTCTAGTAACGTTCCTTGAAAAATTATATAACATTGTAATATATAATTATATATTATACAATATAATTATATGTAATATAATATAATTAAATATAGTATAAAATATAATATAATTATATGTTACATATATAATATTATATAATATAAAATATATATAACGTTGCCTGGATGGTATCCCCTACAACGCAAAAAAGCCGTCCGCAACGTTGAAACACGAGAATTCTCGTCTCCCGTCCACAATGTGTTAAGTATAACCCAGACAAAACAAGTAACAAATTTATTTACTTCTTAGTAACTTCTATCCAGTGATATGCCGATGAGTTCAAAAAAGAGGACGAGTTATTGTCTACGGTTTGGTCTCTCGTTACGGTCCGCGCAATAGGTTAAGACCAGCGAGCCATTTCGTCTTTCTTGCACGAAAAACCAATGCCACTCGAGTCTAATCCTATCCTCTTCTCCAGTTTTCTTCGAACGTAAACGCGCAGTCGAAACGTGTACGTGTGCAAACGTGTTAATATATTTATCGATAGTCTTGTTTCTGGGTCATAATGGCTGTCTCTCGCAACCCCCTACAAATAGATCGATAGAATTTCTCGTCGTGAAGGATAAACGGACACCGGTGAGAACGAAAATGTGATACAAACTGTAAGTAAAGATGCGAGACACGGTGTAATTAGAGCACAGAAGACGGCGACGATGTTTAAAATTCATACGCCCATTGACCTTAGGCTAGGTTCAAAGAACAGTACCTACCGTAGTACGGTGATTACTTGTGTCAAGAGCTGTCACGAAGCGAATGTATAATTCAGGCGTACGCAATAGCTAGAGGCTGGAGCATGGCTGAGCATAATCAAGTCTAATCATGACCACGTCTCCCTGGTAATTTTAATAAGTTTTATTATAGCTCGTACTTTCGATTATTCATCCTTTCTCCGCCGATCTAGGGCACAATTAATCCCCGATCCTGTCTTAGCTTTGTTATTTGCATACGTGAAGACGAATCACTCGACGAACCAAACTCAAGAAAATCCTGTTCGATCGATATCAGCAGTATCTTTGTACGTTTCAAATTTTAAAACGTTGGACAGGCAACTCTCTGCAAATACATCTGCTACAATTTAAAAATTCATTAGACGATTAAATGTTTATTTCTTTGCAAGAGTAAACGATAATGTTGTACATTGTGTTACGTGTAATTATCTAGATCATTTGCAATTATAAGTTTATTCGTAATTAGTAAGCGTTATTAATCGTTATTAATTGTCAATAGCGTGATCTTATTGTAGCCTTCGTCATCTCAATCGATTGAACATAAAAATTTGCAAGTTAATCGTTTATTAAGCATTTTTTTTTTTTTTTTTTTGCAAAATTTGGTCGACCATGGACACTAAAATGCTAGCGCCGCATAGCGGTGAAACGATATAATTAATCGCTGTTTCTATCCTTGTCGCACACCATCGCTCTCCTCGTTTATCAGTGAACAGTGCGCTGCCATCTGTCGGATCTATTTGAAATTCCATCTATTGAAATAAGTCAAGTTCTGCCATCTGTCGGAGTTTGCTTATTTATCCTTCTAGTTCCAATCTGAGTTGAGAGATGCTCAGATGGCAGCACTTGGAGACAAAGTGTAGCGACCTATAGTTCCTCGAGTACGAGTTTCGAACACCAACTTGCACAAGCCGCAAGTGGCTGTGCGCCTAGCGTCGAAGTCAACTGATATTCGATGTTAAGCAAACAGAGTGCGGAACCGCTAGGATGGGTGATGACCGACCATCCAGCCTAGCGAATAGTTACAACAACAAGCGTCTGGGGTTAAGGAGTCGCTGCCATCAGCCCCACTAATGAGTCTAGGCAGCGACTCTGAGACGAAACGCCACAACCTTTCCTCACCTTACCTACATCATCACTTCCTACATTATCCTCGCATTATCATCGCCATTTCAAATCCTTCAAAAGATAGATATGTAGCGACCTCTACTTCGAAGAATTTAGATCAACGACATCTATGTTCCGTCGAAATGCGTATTTAATATAAACAATAGAGTATTTAAAAATAGCTATTAATTTTATTATCACCATGGAAATGTTTACTGCCACTTATATATATTGTAGCCATA